GGCTAGGTAAAGAAATAATTTTGATTTTTTTGCACGAAATCATGATTAATATGGTTGATTTAATCAAAATAACTCAGAATATTTAAAGCCATTTTCATCTGAGCAACGCTTGGTACTCTGCTAGTGTTTAATAATTATAAATACCAATAATAACACCGTTATGAGAAAACTGATGTCACATATAATATCACTACTATAAAGAAAACTTATTAGATAGCCAACAGATTGTAACATTATCCTGAAAGATGTTATAATTTAGAATATATCAAGTTCTAATAATTGTAGAATAGCCATGGTTTATATTTTATTTACTTAAACACATTTATATTATTTTAAATTGAAATATTATTTAAGGCAATCTAACTTCCCATTTAAAACAAGCTTATGGGTTTTCTCCATTTTGTGGTTATATGGATTGTTAAATGAAGCATATTTCCCATAATGGACAACAGATCTCAAATCATAACCACCTAAGACTGTAGTTTCAAGTTCTATCAATTCTTATTAGCCCCATTTAGGTCAATAACAGAGAATGCTATCCAAACAGCTTATATAACTCTAGGTGTTGAAAATATAACCAGTTTGTATGTATTTTATTTATATGTATACCTTTCTACTCTTTCTAATTGAATGTTTTGGGGGCTAAACTTTAGAATAACTATCTATGAGGAAGTTATACTTCAATATGTAAATAATATTAAAACTCTGAGACAAGTTTTGGATACAAAAAATACCACTAACTTAACAGAAAATTATAATACAGATAAGGGTTGAACCAAAAATTTTAATAAGCATAACTTTTATCAGGTTAGTGACCTATAGGCAAAGAATTTTAGATTACATAATTCTAATTAAAGAAAAAGAATGTATAATAACATATATTATAGTAGTAGTTACTGAATCAGTTATGGCCAAATTTCTCACACTGGATAGATTCCTAATACCAATAAGTGAAAGCTTTATTAATATTGGTATTTCCTTAGAATTTTAAATAACACAATCTCAAGATGGCACTACGTCAGCAGTGTACCAGAAATATTTCAGAAAAACATAACCTAATATACCAGAAGTAAGCTTTGTCTTATCAATAACAACATTGAAACAATTGGTTTCCTAAGAATGAATTAAATCATAACAACAATGCAGATACTGTACTGAAATGAAATAGGTGACATATTATAAATTTTTCATAACAACACAGTGATTGCTTTCTACATAATGTAATATGTTTGCATTGTATAACCTGAATTAAACCACACACTAAAGTTTAATTTCAAATTAGTATAAAAAGGAAGAGTATAGATTAATTCAGCATTTTGCTGACAAAAACTTACTGTATGTCTTACCAAGTGGTAATCTCCATTATATGATTGATTATTTTCAGCTTCATTGCTGTCCATTTTATGGAGAAATCCATTATCTAGCTCTCTGTTAATAGAAGTTTCACTGCTGTCACTTCCCACTTCACTGCTTGTTGAGTAATCTTCATTATCCAGTTGACTAACATTTACATCCTCAGCTAAAAGATAAAGTTCTAGAATTATTTTAGTTTTGCCATATATTCTGTATTCTAAATACATAAATGATAAATAGCAATCACAAAAAACACATCAAATATATAAGCTATTTAACAAAGTTTATAGTCTAGATATTTACTAATATTTTATAATTATCATGCAAATTTAACAATTATAAAGTCTCATCCTGCAACTTAGGTTTCACATATTGAATAAAATCTTAAATAATGCACCTGTTTGGTTATTTCACTTTAAAAGACTTCTTTGAAAAGGATGGAATTACTTCCAAATATATGACACAACTAACCATCGTTATCACATGACAAAAAACATAACTATGCTATAAGAGGCCTTGTAAAATATGTGAAGATAAAATGTCAAATTCTGCTATTTTAGAAAGTAAAAAAAAAAGTCTATATCATTCTAAAAGAATTCAAAAAGAGCCTACCAAAAGATATTTTATCTAACTGGAGAAATATGCCAATCAAGGCTTACCATGCCTATTGGAATCCAGATGGTGTTCTGATGGGAATGCAGTGAACTGAGTTAAGGAAGGTGCAGTTTCACTGGTTAGACATTTTGGTACCATATGTCTCTGAGAGTCAGCTAATGTTAATGTGAAACGGCCATTATTCTTACTGCATGGTGATGGGTGTCGTGGTCGAGATAAAAGCAGTTGGCTTTCGAGGTGGCATCTAAAATTTTCAGAAGCAAATTTGATTTAAATATTAAAATGCTTAATAAAATATCAAGAAGTAACATTTATAAACAGAGATACTGCTTCTATTTTCAACATCACTTTCATACTTATTAGCAACATTATTAAAAGTCCCTCATTTGCATGCTTATAGAACAATTCGTTAATCAGCATATGCAAAATACCGATAATGCGAGGTGTTAAGTTATGCTGAAGTTCTATAAATAAAGAAATGTAGTCATATCACGGGTAGTCTGACAATGGAGAAAAACATGACAAGAATCTCTTTGACATTGAATTGAGCATGATAGTGGGTGCATACCTAGTAAGGGCATATTACCAAAAAACATTTTTTGTACTGGCTGTTCAGAGGTTGTCACGTAGCAGTTGAAAAGAAATATGTTTATCACAAGTAATAGCAAGCTACTAAATGATGTTGATTGACTGAAGTAAAAAATGATTGGACAAGCTTTTATTGCAAGAAGTGTTTGACTTTATTCCACCTGACTGATTCTTCCAATACTAGTCAGAATCCAACCATCATTAACCACACCATTTAAAGGAAATTATTAACACTGTCATATGGCAGTCAACAACCAACAAAAATTTCTTATGCTACATAAAAACAGGCAAGCTTAGCTTCAGTGGTGCAAAGAATAATAAATTATGGACAACGGATGATTGAAAGAATGTGATCTTATAAGCCTTGTTTCACCTTTCTCTGGGTTTTTATTTGTTTGTTTGTTGTTAAGCACAAAGCTCCATAATGAGCTATCTGTTCTGTGTCCACCATGGGTATCAAAACCGGTTTCTAGCACTATATGTCCCTAGACTTACTGCTGTGCCACTGGGGAGCTTTTCTGAACTGGGAGTACAACAGAGGTATAGAGAAAACCACATTAGTCACTTAACTTTGCTTATGTTGTTCCAATTTACAAAATGCTGGCAGTAATGTAATAGTGTAGAGAACAATATTGTGGAAATTTGTTCGATTTTTACGCTGAATTGATTCCTTAAGAAAAGCATATAATATATAAGGTATGCCTGAACATTTTTGTGGGCATGTTCACCTAAAATGATGTATTTTCATCTTGATGGGCAAGGCCTCCTCCAACACATTAATGAAACAATTCATCCTTCTATTGTCCTAAGTTGATGAATAGGGCACGACAGTGGACTTTGGTCATATATCTGAACCAGCACAATTACTAGATCTTAACCTGTGAATCAAATTTCACATCATATCAACAATCAAATAAAAACACATTCCAGCATCTCGAGGAATCACTGCCATGAGTAGTGCAGATTGTTTATACAGTGAAAAGTAGTCCAATCAAATATTAGCTGGGAGGCTTAACAAAGTGGTCATATTTTAATATAAATATCAATTTTCAAATAGATACAAATGTCTTGTATGCATGTTTGTTTGGTCATTTAAGAACAGTTGAACTGCAACTTTGTTTATAAATATATATATATATATCTTTTATGCTGATATCTTGATAGTTGATGCTGTTTAGAAGATTATTTTTTAAATCATAGTTAGCTTAGTGATTTATTTAAATCAAGCAGCTGTCTCGGATACTGCTTTCATACTGCTCTGCATAGTTGATGAGGATAGGTAAAAATTCAGAATATCATGTAAAGATATTTAATTTGGATGTGGGAAAAGCAAGTATGATTTATTCATGAGTTTTTCTACTTAAGTTAATCTAAATACAAAAACATTACTGTGAAATGATATTTAACCTCTTGCATAAGAATCTGGTTAGTTTCTACAATAATGCATAGAGAGAGTTCTAAAACTTGGTGTGTGCTGAATACCTCATAGGATTGGTGTGGTTGATAGTTTTATGCTCTCAATGGATTGAAAAACAAAATAAAATATAATATAGATATTTTACACAGTTATTAATTGTTATTATCTAACATTTAAAAACATATAATGTAAGGTCTTAAATGTTCATTGAATAAGCCAAATTAGTGAATACTATCAATGTCTGGCTCCCATAACATCTTATCAATCAAACATTACAGTGGACCCATTAAGAAGTTGTCCCTCTAAAACTTATCTGTTAAACTACCAAGACAATTATAATCAAAACATTCACTCATTTCAGATAACGCACTTTTCATTTCCTTGTTACATCTTGATAAGAAACCACATAACAGAAAGAGGTACATGAAAATATAATGAAATGGATTACAGTCACAGTCCATATTATATTTGTTCTAGAAGTAGCATAATATCCTAATCACCAAGTTAATTTGACCAATTGGGTTAATTTAAACATTATATATGACTAGGATCCAAGATATATAACTATTAGATTTTGCAAATAAGACACATTCTTTTTTCGTTACCAACTATAAGATGACAATATTATCAATACTTTGTTAAAAATCCACAGATGTATCTTTTTTTTTATTATTCATAAAACTTTTTACCTGAAACAAGGATGGCTACCATACACATTCACCAGAGAAAATTGACCTTGTTTCCCACCCAACTTTGTTCCTATCTTGTGACGATATTCACAACATGTACTCAAATGAAGAACTCTGAGACCATCCACAAATATAACAACACTGTAAGGGTATCCCATGTGACGACGAGAAGTGAAAGTAAACTCATCTGTGAAAGAGATAAAAAAATTTATAACTAAACAAACTATATAAGTTTTTATCACAATGTGAAAACCTAAGCATAAAGTTTATACATTTAAATACATACTATTATATGACATGAAAATGTATGAACTAATCCTAACCAATATGTACTTATGCTGAAATTTGGTTCTAGCTTATAAGATGCTATTACTTACTTAGCAGTATATGTACCTGCAAATAATAAGCATTACTTATTAGGTAGTAGTTTCTGATTAACTATGTGCTGAGTTCCTTATATATGTACACGTTTTTAGTTATTAAATGTTTGAGTAGTAGAACTTATAGCTAATATTGTATAAAATCTATCAAAACATGTAGTAATTGATTTACTTAATACAACTGAAGCATTTATGTTTTTTGTAATTGATGTACAGAGCTCAACTAAAGTTTTTGTGTTTCTATAATTGTTTATTTGTTTGTTGAAGTTCATGTAAAACCACTTAAGGGCTACCTGCACTGGCTATCCCTAATTTTGAAGTGATAATCAGTCCTCTTAAAACTTAAAATAACCATTGGCACACATTATACCAGTTATTGGTCTAAAGTTTCTCATCATTGATTTGAAGATGTTAGTGACACTTACCTCCTGGAGTAAGCTGATTTTTATACACAGTGATTGGATGACCTCCACAATGCTGCTGTAACACAACAACCTCTTGCTTGTCATACCTGGATTTTTGAGAGAACCAACTTTTCATCCTTTGAATAGTTCCATGGAAGAGTAATGTAACTGCACATTGATTTCTACCTACTTCTGGAGTTGTCTTTAAATGTTTTTTCCAGTTCTAAAATACACAAAAAAGTTAGTTACATAATATATAGTAATTAAACAGTGAAATAATTAAAATGGAACTATCTTAGCTAGTAAGTTAAGACAAAATATTGTAGAGTAACTCTATAGCAGCATTTACAACTATAAAGTAGACAAATTAGCCAACTCTGTATAAATTAAAAAAACCTATATCTAAATTCTAGCATGCTCATAATTTTAAACCTAGAAACTTTGATAGACACTGTTTTAATGTTGAACTTAATGAAATGTTGGTTTGTAACCCCAGGAAAAAAATAGGAGTATACTGTATTCCCAATTTCTGTAGGAGTATACTGTATTCCCAATTCCTGTAGGAGTATACTGTATTCCCAATTCCTGAAAGTGATTTGCACATTTATTTCCCATATACAAGCACCTTCTTACTTCCTATCCTAGTATTAGTATTAAATAATACAATCTTTATTATTGTATAAGGTATTAAAACATCTTACACATACTTTATTATTACATGTATTACAACATATGATGCATACCCTTAAAATCAGGACAACTTTTTAACTACCTGTACCAGTATATTTTTAAAACCTTTTTATTGCTCATTACAACACATCATGCTTGTCTTCCAACTGTGTTATGTTTATCCCAAACTCAAAGAATATTAACCAGAAAATAATCTTAATGTTAGGCTCTAAGAAAGAATACATTACCTTCTTTTCTTTCTGCAATTCACTATTAACATAAGGAAATGTTTGCTGTCTGTCTGTTTCTTCTGATGATTTTCGAAGTGCAGATTTTGGCCTCCCAGATGCACTACTTGCTCGATTAATGCCTACAGATTTTAGTTTTTGAAGAGCACTGTTTGTTCTTTTAGCTCCTGCAGACCTTGATCGAAAATTAGCCTTTGAAGAAATATCACACTTGTAGGTTTGAGACAATAATGGAAGAAGGTATGGTGATGCTGCTTGTTGAAGTAATCTTCTAGTTAAATCGGCATAATATTGGGAGATTGAATTAAGTTGCAAGGAGTTCTGTTAATTGTAGAGAAAAAAAAACTTGTGGAGTGGACAACATTTTCACTAATTTCAGTAAATAACATATTCTGAAGTGAAAAAAAGTATCTCAATCCTCAAAGCTTAGTATATAGAACTGTGTACTACTAACCTGATCAACCCGTTTCAACTCTGTATTATCCATGGCCTGAATAGTATCATTCTTGGATGCCTAAAGAGCAAAGCAGAAAAATTATTCCATTGTTTAAAAGTTCGTTTCTTCTTTCTATTAATATTACAAATTTTATCCTACAGACAGATGATTTTGCAATGTTCATTTAGTTCTATGCCTGCTATGCTGTAATTTATGCTAATAAATAAGTGGGCAATATTTAATCCATTTCAACTTGGAGGTTAAAATAGTTCTAACAACAAATGAAACTGTAACTTAAAATGAAATCAAAGGATGAGCACCACAATTATGCTTGGACCAGCTACAAAAACTGGAAGAAATATATATAAGAGCCCTTTTTTTTTTAAATTATGAACCCAAACAGCACTAAAATGCATTAATTATTAAAAGTTTTCAAATCACATAATGAAACCTGCTCAGTACAACAGATTAAAAAGGGGGTAGGCTTTGGTACTTTTTATTGAATATGTACCAAGATTAAAACCATATATACAACTTTACTGAAGTGACTGAGTTTAAGAGCTTTTTTAATTCCTTCCCTCCTCCAGCAATAGACATTTATCTATGTAATCCTCAAAGGCCACAGAAGGATATATAAAACTACAATAGAGAATCTTAAGAAGTCTTTCAACAATGATTCAACTAACCATTTTCTTCCCCAGCCTTGTACTGGCCTCTCTTTAACTGGTACAGAGATTCTAAAAACTTGTTTTATATACAAAAAAATATGTAATAAATTAAACAAATCCAGTTATTCAGAAGAGTATACTTACACATACACCATCTAATCTCTTTAACTCCAAAATAAAAAAAAAATCATCACAGTCCCCTTTAATTCTTACAATAATCTTTACCAGCTTAATATTTCAAATAAACAAAAATCTTTCAAAACTGTGCTTATTAAAATTTAGTTTACATGTTAGAATGACATATTTGTTGAACAAAGAATGCCAAAGACTGCACATATTGGTACAACTTCTAAATTGAGATATAACGATTTTTTAAAATAAATTATGTGGGAAAATACTAGAGCATGTAGATGAACCATTAATTGGAAAGCAAATTATATTTCTTTGATAAAAACAAATATCTGTGTATAAAACTGTGCCAAAGTCTAGATTAAGTGCTGTATTTGTTTGTTTGTTCTAACATAAGGGAATTTACTACCTATATATAAAGTACAAAATTCTCATAAGTCTATATATGTTCAAAATTACCTATAAAAATAACGCAGTCATAAAAAACATCCCATCAAACATAACAATCTCATGCAATAAAAAAACTGTCATAATAACATCAAAATCATTAAAAAAAACAGCATTTTCAAATAAAGAGATGTCAAGCTTTGTAAAAAATAAATAAATTTGTAAAATAAAATACATATAAATGAACCAAAAAAATAAGTTGGTTACCTGGTCAAGCTTTCAATTACATCTGGGACCAACAAATATAAACACAAGGAAACAGTGCAATAAATGGGAGAAAACAGCATGCATGATCTTGTAGCACTTTCCATTTCATCAAAAACAAAAGAAGAGAAAGTTTTGCATTTTCACACCAGGTTTTTTTGGTACTATAAATATAAGTAATAATAATAAAACATAAATATTTTGTAATAATATACTTTTGAAGCATAACTTTAAAAGTTTTTAAAATGTATAGCTAAATGAGTACCAATGTTTTTAATCTGGTTTTCATAATTCTTCCAATTTGATGACTGTAAAAGGTAATATTATGTACACATCTCTTCATGCAGGATACTGAGTTAATTGAATTACATCTTTGGTAATTTTCATCCCAATTAAGTGAAAAAACTTTGTAATTTTTTTGGGTTTGTTAGAGTAACTGCTTATGATATACAATTACAGGTCAGACATGAACAAAAATGACAGCGATGTGAGCTCCCCTCTACTTTTCTTTTTTGGAAATTTCAAGGCAAGTAGAAAAAATGCCAAAAAACTGTTCATTTGTAGTGACAAAAATGTCACTTTAAGGTTTTCTTCATTAAAGTATTTATTTTCAAAGATAAGTGAATTTACTTTAGATTTATGCATGTGAGTGAAAAAGATAAAGATATGAAACTCAACTTTGGTGACGTCTTTGCTTGAGGAGCAAGCCTTATGCAAGAAGTGGAATATTATTGATGTCATGTTATTCATCATATAATGGTACGTGGTCTGTTTTGACATTCCGTGTTTTTTTCTGATCAGAACCTGGTTTAATTTTAAGTTAAAAAATAATTATCCAAAATGAGTGTTTTATTCATTTCACTGACATTGTATACTATGCAGTTATTTAAATACATGTAGTATCTCATAACTTGGAACATAACAAAAAACTGAGTATTAATGGGTTTTCTAATATTTTAATAGTTAAACTTTGTTCTATTGTTACATCAGTATTGTTATAAATATTTTCATGTATCTTAAAATTATATTATTATTAAAAAGAAAAAGTTAAATAAAAGCAGCAAACAGACTGTTTTAGATTTGTTTCTCTTGAGTAGTATGTTTAATTTTGAAAACATTTTTGGAATGAATCTCAGACCTATAGAGTGGATTTGTTTGTTATTGTTTTTTTAAAGTACAAAGCCACACAATGGGCCATCCATGCTCTGCCCACCATGGGTATTGAAACCCAGTTTTTAGCATTATAACCCCACTGACTCTATAGAGTGGATGAAAACTACTGTATTACAGGTCCTGCACAAAACTATAACATTTTAAAATGATCTGTTTGCTGATCATATTAACTTTTAATTTCCATAGATTCACAGCTTGCATCTCCTATCAAAAGGTTATTGCTATTCTTCACATCATGTAACAGATCACAATATTTATAATGCTTGATACACAGTAGCTGCTCAAAACTAGACTTTTAAAAAATGTGAGATTTTGATGTTTATTTTCATTAAGTTTAGTTTTTGTGTCATTCAATCTTCAAAATATTTTGTAGCATTTGCTATGAACTAAGAAAAACCTTAAGATTTACACCATCTGACTTTCATGTAGAACAACAAAAACCAACACAGATTTAAATATCATAACTTTTAATAAAAATGCTACGTTATAAAGTAGAACACAGAAACTTCATCAACATATCAAAAATCTTTTATATTATAAATTAAAATAATCAGTTGTTCCTTTTGTTATGACATACAATATAAGAAAATAATCAAAGGTTACTACAAACGAATACAAATTTGCAGAGCAATGATCAACAATTCACTATATTTTGAGCCCCTTGAATTATTTTTTAAATGTTTTCTATAACGTCACTGGCAAGCATGAATTGTAAATAAGTTCAAAATCATTACCTTTGAAAAACGTTTTCTTTTCTTCTTTCTTTTATTTTGTGCTGGCCTCTGATGTTCTATTTTCTTATAATAATTCACAAATGAAAAAATACATGTTATACATTTGATAAAGATATTTAAAAAGATTTGTAATATTAAACTCCTTATACAGCAATATGAAATACAGGCACTTGATACCTGAAGTGTTTCACTAAATAAGGAGGACTGCCATAATAGGATACATAAATGTGTTCATAAATTTAGATCTGAACATTAGTCAAACAAACAAAAATCAAAAATAATTATAATTTTTAGTTCCATAACTATTACAAGGGGCTGGCCAAAATAAGGAAACCTATAAAAGAAGATATCAATCTTGACAAATCAAAAAAGTATGTAATTTTTTCCTTGTTAAAAAATATTTTTGCTTTAATTACAAAATATTATGTGAAATATTCTAATAATCAAAAGAAAATTTCTTGAAAGTTTAATCTAAGTAAAATAATAATAATCAATTTATTTTGAAAATTTAACAAAAAGGAATGTGTATGGGTTAATCTAATAAATCTTTGCATGCAGTGACAGTTTTTTTTTTTCAGGTATTTGTACAAAGCTACAAAGGACTATTTGTACAAGTCATCCCTAATTTTGAAGTGATGGACTAGAAGTAAGGAAGATAGTCAACAGCATCCATCTCTAACTCTTGGGCTACTCTTATCAAATGTTGGGGTTGGATAGTCACTCTTATGATGCACCCATGGCTCAAAAAAGTGGAGAGTACTTTTGCTGCAACAAGGTGTACACCATGGACCTTCATATTAACAATCATGCATACTAATTATTAGGACAAGCCCAGCTCTGTTGTAACAAATAGCTATTTAATAAACTTTTAGATCACATAATCCCATCAATACCATTTTCTGGTAAAACAAAAAAATGTCCAATGTCCTATAACATCAAACAAGGGAAGATATCACAAAAGTAGCTCAATGAGAGAAATGTTAGATATCTAAAAATCAATTCCCTGAAAAATAAATTAATGAAAAACCTTGCTGATGGCTTTAACAAGTCATGTATAGATAAAGTATCAAGAAGTACTCTCAAGAACATTGCAAAAATGTGGCCTTTGGAGAAGAACAGCAACACAAAAGCCCTTACTGCACAAAGAGACTAGCTGGTCTTTGGACAAGTGGCATAAGATGCTTTAAACAGAAGGGTCTAAGTGTATGGTTACAACCATAGTGGGTATGACCATGCAAAAGTTAATGGGAGGTTGAAGAAGGAGTGGCTTTAGTGCAAATAGACAAACACAAAGGAGGCTTTGTAATGATTTGGGGGTGTGATATCTTCAAATTGTGTTGGTCATTTTCACAAAAATGATGGCATCATGAGTCAACATAAATACAACAACACATCATGCTATATACTCTGTTAAGAGGTTGAATGGGCAGAATGTTATATTTCAAGAAGATAATGAGCTCAATTATACTTCCAAGAAATGTCAAGCTTATTTGGCCAAAAAATAAAGCACAGGATGTCTTCAGCAAAGAGAATGGTCAGCCAAAAATCTAGATCTTAATCCCCTAAAACAAATCTAGGATTTGCTGGAATCCATGCTTTGACAAAAGTTCCAATTGTACCAAAAAAGCCTCTAGATATAGCTTCAAGAAATATTGAATCAAATTACACCAAAGAATTTGAGCAAATACATAGACACAGTGCCACCAGTATGCCAAGCTGTTATTGCTGCCAAAGATGATTACACTTAATATTGGCATTAAGTAAACTTAAAGACATTATTTCTCTATTAATTTTGTAATAGTTTCCTGTAAGGTTAATTTGCAATAATTTCTTATCAATTTCTATAGTAAATAAAAGACTATTTTGTGTGTAAATCTCATAACATGAAAATTGTTGAGGTGTTCTCATAAATTTGCACATTACTGTATATATATATATATAAGAATACACACAGATATACATATACATATAACTATATTTGTAGCTTTTGTTTCATTTATAAAATATATGTATCTTTAGTCAATGACAAAATAAAAAAAAGGATTTTTGGATGATAATTAATGATGGCTCTATTCATATAGTTTACACGTTTTTTGTCTCTTACAAAAAAAATTAATTACTTGGCTGAACTAAGCCATCTAGTGAATTATCATAGTGTCAAACACTAAGATATGAGACACCTATTTCACTGAATTCTGGCCAATTTGTAAAAACAAAAGTCACATCTGAGTTAAAAGAAGTATAACTCAATAACCATATACCTTTGAAATAAGCATTTGTATACCACTTCCAACAGCTTTGTGGATTTCCAATGAACACTATGTGTTGAATTTGCTACACATAATACTAATATACTTAATATGCTCTATTAAAATGATAAAAAAAAACATTCCAGACCATTAACTTCTCTTGAAAGCTTGTTTGTTTGAAGTTAAGCACAAATCTACACAATGGGCTATCTGTGCTCTATCCGCCACGGGTATCGAAACCCGGTTTCTAGTGTTGCAAATCCGCAGACATACCTCTGTGCCATGAGGGGGCCTTTTGAAAGCTGTAGGATAAATCTGTCACAAAATTATCACAAACTAATTTGAACTATGTCCAAGTACATAGCAGGGTGATTGTTCCCCTCACTGATATGTATATATTTGTGTTATAGGTAATCATTCTATTCATTTTGACAAAATGTATTATTGAAAAGTTTAATACTAACTAATTACAAAATTTTCTTAGTTAGAATAGTAATGGAGAATTACATAGATAATACTAAGTACATTACTTTAACCAGAAGAACTTAGAGTGTTTAATATAAAGGAATTTTTATTATTTCAATTTAAATAAAACATAATTTACTTCACTCTCATTCATGTCATCAGTTGAGCCTTCATCCAAGAAATCCTGTACATTAGGGAATGTAGTAGTGTTCCAAGGACGATGAGAGCAACTAGCTAACATTCTGGACAGCTGGGAAGTGGGGGAAGTTTTCCCTCTGATCCAGGATAATGAAGGACAAGCTGATAATGATCGTGGTGGCAGTGAATTACCTTCTTGTGGTTTATGCCGTGAACGAGCACTCTGAAAAAAAAAATTATGATAAATAAAAAGAAAAATCCTAAAATAAGTGTTAACTATGTTTTAGATACACTGTATGAATCACAGTGACTAATATAAGATAAATATTCTATTCACTACCTATGCTTAAATTTGTTTAGATTTTTTAACTAGATATTTCAACATACAACTCAAAAATGATTAAAATATAATTTGCCTTCAATAAATAAAGTTAATTCTATATATTTCATAAAACATTAGTAATAAATATCAGAGATGACTCTTTAACCAGATATTTCAACATACCACTTAAAAATACAAAAAATAAAACTTACATTTAAAATACAGAAAAGTTAATTTTATATAATCCATAAAATATGAATAATGAATATCAAGGATAACTTTTTACGTAACACATTCACGCCAATATTCATTACAGTTACTTAACATTTCAGTGTTGTTTATAATAGCATTTTTGGTTATATTTCACAAGTAAAATTAAACTAAAAAAACAAATTCTTGTATTCAAACAGCAACTACATTTATGATTACTGTCAAGAACTGGTGTAGCAGAGAAGCATCTATATCATACATTTGAGGGATGAAGCATACGTGTGGTGCATGAATATACCATGCATTTCTACCATCTTGCAATATTATAGTATTAGTTATGTGTTCTTTATATGTGCAGGTTTCATGGAACATAATCAAGAAAGCCATTAAGTTGATTTTGTTCCACTGCCTTTGTTTTCAAGTGGATAATAACTATGGAGAGGGATATTGGTTCAGTACTGCATGTTGTGCAAGGTTATAAACAGCAGTGTCCTTCAGCAGTCATTCAAATGATATCTAGGGGTTACAACCTCCCTTATGTTGTACTGAGAGTGACCAGTGCTAGTTGTTCTGGTTAAGTGCAATTTTTCTTGTGAATTTAGAAACATTGGACTTAGACAGTCTGAGAATCCTGAAGGAAGAGATGAGAAGCAGCTGAGAGAATCCAGTTAAAACAATAAACCCATTTAAAGAAAAACAAATACACATACTGTGTTTGTGTTTAGTATTATAATAAAGATTGTTCATTTAGCATTTCACTTTGTGTCTAGTTTCATTTTTACATTTAATATTACAATTATGTCAGTGAGAGCTTTAGCATTACTTCATCAGCAATATCGTGATCAATTCTCTAGTTATTAAACTGACCTATCCAATAGCTCAAAGACTAACTCAACTTTACCTGGATACCACATAATTAGAACTTTGCTTTATATCGGCTACTGATACAACAATTTATTGTAAAAACTTTAAAAACAGCAAGATTAATAAATTGTGAGTACAAGAAAGAAACAGGATATTAGGGAAGACCCAAGATGTAATTAATTTTTGAGCAAATATCAATGATACCATAAAAACTTCACATGATTAATTTCTGAGAAGTAACTATAGTTCTGGAAGGACCTCAAAGAGTTTAAAATTTTTAAGCCTTTTGTGAGGGATAGAAGGATGACTACAACATAAACTTTCATAATTCTAAAGAATATCTTCAAGCTAATTTTTCTTTATGAGAAGGATTCATAGTGTTAATATTTGATAATATATTCCCTTAGAAAAGTTTCATAATTCTATGAAGGGCCTTTAATACTAGAATTACTGATCATGTTCAAGTTAGAAAAAACAGATAGTTTACTTCACTCTTCATCATATCATCAGTTGAGCCTTCCTCCAAATGTACAGATTAGTATCATTTTTAAGTAGAACTGCAGATCCTTTAACAGTGTCTTAAATCAAAAGGTTTTGTTGTAAGTTATATATGAAAAGTGAAAAACAAATAAGAGGTTAACATACTTATAGTTAATAATAAAACCTAAACAAATATGTCATGTTGTAACTAATCCTACTAATTACTGCTGGGGCCTCTAATGCAAAGAAAATGAGTGATTACATCCAACTGTTTGAGGGTAAATTCATTATACTGAATGTTGTTACAGGCAAAACAGAATTACTTAATATGATGCAATCTATGGAATCTATTAGTAGTGAACAGTATATAAAAACATATCAATAATTTTAGAGTTTAACTTTTATAACCTCTGTGAATATGAGAATGTTGTCACTTGGTTGTTGATCACAAATGTGGATAGTTTTAGAAAACATTAAGGACAAAATTAAATCTTCAATTTTCTCAACATATTATTAAAAACAAATTTAGTTCTTGTGTCAAAATATTCAAAGAAGACACAATAATTATTAAACAGAAGAGTGTCTTGCTCACTGAAGAAATGCTGATCTTATAATGGGTTTAACAAAAGTTAACATTTTTATTACCTGAAAATGTATTTTCAATGTATACTGACCTCTCACACAGAATAGCTTGATTCCTTGTGCATCTGCCTAAAGATATGCATGCCAATAGTCTTAAGCTAACTCCCACCTAAAAATCATGTGTTTCACATGAACTACGCTAGTGCATGATGAAACCTCAGGCAAGGATAGCCCTCCACCAATCGAAGGGCAACACAACCTCCTTGTGTAGTGACTCCCTCTAAGTACTTACAATCGAAATAACTTCATTCTTAGATTGGGGCAAGAAGATAGTGCACTAAAAGTGGAGAGGATTGGTGGGAAGGTGTGAAGAAGTATCTCTTGGAAACACATTTTCTGGTAAGGAAAATGTTAACTTCCTACATGATACCTCACCTCTTCACATAGAATAGCTAGAATGGTGTAGGACCAGTGCAAATATTAAACCTAGATGAACATCGAGTGTGACACCCTATGGCAGGGGCTACAAAGTGGGGGAAAGGCAAAATAGCCCCAAGTGTTGTTTGGATGGGCAAAATTTTAGCATGATCAATAGAGCACCTGCACAAAAGTAGTCAGTGAGCCAAGAAGTGTCATGTAGTTAGGGCACAATCAGACCATACAATGTGTATCTCACCTCAACTCAACTAACAGAAATGGGGGTAATGAACCCATCCTGCTGCAAGAGGAGGACACACTAGCTGTTTCAAGGGTAACCCACACAACACAGACAGTGCCACCACCACAACCCTACTTCCCACTGTATTGTGCTGTACACAATCAGTGAGGACCCAGAGAAATGCCTGGATCCCCATTGGATGTCTGCCGTAAGGCCTTTTACTGTTGACAGTGCAATGGATGGCTGTGAAACCCTAGTTTGAAAAGCTGGCAAGCACAAGCCAAAGAAGTGAGCAGCCACTTCCCTGGTGCTACCTTTTTACATGATAGTTCATGGAATGTTACAATCTGGATCAGACAATTGGGTAAGTTTAATAGCATGAACACCTCTAGTGGTCTTGTGGAACACCCCATCTCGACAGTGGGCACTGGTAAAGGCAGGGTGGATGGGTTAAGCACTTTTCATTACCCCCTTACCTGATGCAGATTTTTGTAAACAAGCATACCTTTGAAGACAATACCAGCCACCTGGCAGGATCCTATAAGGAGAAAGAGGGTTAAAAAAAATAAAGTGCACTTACCCTTCACAAAGACAGTGTGTAAATTAAAGAATAGCGACCATAGGGAGTTAAAATCCTACAGGAGAGAAAACAGTCAGATGATGAAGATAATGGGAGATGAATGTATGTGGTTCGTCCAAATGCCAACCTGAAGGATCTTGTCCAAAAGTCAGCAGAAATGAGATGCAAGAGAGTGAGATAGATAACGAATCTGATGTGACAAAATGTGAAAAAGCCTCCAAGCATCAATATCCAGGGAAGAATACACCAACCAGAGAAGTTGGCAGACCCATCCAGTAAGAGTAGGAGGCTATGGGTCTCTGAATGAAGAGGGGTACCAAGGTAGAAACAAACTACATGCCAAATAACACTACACAGTCCAAACTGAACACAGAAGACGACTTGGGTCTAATCAAGCACAGAGGTAAGAGATAGAAAGGAGGGTGACACAGGGGATGAAATATTTGGGTTCCCATGAAATTTGTGAATCACTTTCCTCTTCGCTTAGCATAATGTGTGAATCATTCCTTTCTCTTGTATCTTGTTTTTGAGACCTCTGACAACACAGTGAAAATACTGTAATGTTTTAGTTTGATATACCAATGCTGATGTTCATTTCTTGTAAAATTCTGCCAAATGGCATATACAGTATTTTCACACTTTGTTATGCACACATCACATACATTTACACTTTGTAGTAGTCTCTTCAAGATATTTGGAATGCACCCGCAGCCTAGCCAACTAGACTAGACTAGACTACGTACATACAGTACATGCACTGCACATTTAGCATTGAGCTGATTATGTAATCTCTCAATACAGGCTCTGTCCCATGGACTAACCATGTGATCATTTTTACTTCAGTATAGTCTATAGTTTAATACAGTAGGTGCATCTTCTCAAAATTTGGCAGTCTTTTAGTAAACATTACATGTCAATTGTATATAAAAAATCAGTTTTTTTTTTTTAATGAAATTTTTTTACTAAAGATTTATCTGTGAATATATTGAGTCTTTTTTTGACCAGTCTGAGTGCAAAGAGATTTTCATGTTAAAATTAAAAATACTTTTCTTCATCTCAAAACTCTCAAATGTCATTTACACAAATGTCTAAAACCTCCTAAATACATTTAAAATATTTTTTTTGGTAAAACTTTTATATTTTATCAGTTATTTTCTCTATCCTAGCTTTCTTTCTACAATGACTTCAAATTGTAACACAAAACTACATTTGTTTATACTAAGTATCTTTAAACCTGTAACTGTATACATCTATTTGTTCTTAAATGTTATTGTTTTATTACTTTTTGAACCATGTCTAACTACAATTTGTCCTATTATAAAATGTAAATCACTTGGAAAACGTGCAGCTCACGTTATGCTATCGAATTACATTACCCACGAGTTACTCCGATCTGCTTTGCGAGCATGCTTCGTGAAAATTTGTTTATTATATTATTATTTATTTTACCTATTCTAACCTTAACTAACCTAATGAGTTTCCTATTTTTACATTTTACTAAAGTACTTACTTACCTGGACCGTGTGAGAAAGTGTAAAACCACATTATGGTATCAATAAGGCATGGGATTGGATGAAGGGGGTCAGTGAACAAAGAAGGATTGAAACAATTAAATTTGCAAGAAATTTAAGTTTCGTTAAATAGCACAAATAAAAAATTTAAAAACACATCTGTTTAAGACAATGCTAAGGAAAAGAATAAAATTATTTCAAGCACAAGTGCTTAGGAGGAGTTACTGCACAAGAAGGTTATGTTGCCCTCTTACCAGTGGAGGGCTATTGTAATGATAATGTCATCATGCACTAGCATAGTTCAAATTAAATGCTTGATTTTTTGGTGGGAGTTAGCTCAAGGCTAGTGGCAGAGAAATATCATAAGCATATCCATGAGAGATAAAAGTCTTCTCTGTGAGGAGGTGACATATCTTCTCGGAAGTTTTTATGTTATGTTACTTATTTTAATCAGTTTAATCAATTTAATTAAGAAACGATTTTTTCAAATTCTTCCTAGCTTCATTTATTTTGTACCTCTGTTTTAGTTTCTTACCTTTACTCGTTCCACTAGCTCAATTTTTGTTAAGTCAGAAAGCTGACGTCTCATTTCTGATTTGTGTAACCGTTCCAGATACAGTGACTTTTGAACAATTGCTGTAGCTAACATTTCATCAATCTGCTTCTTATGTTCCTGTCTGCGTAAATGTTTCTTATGGGCTGCTGGAGACATAATTTTTCCTTTTTTTGTTACCTGTAAAATATAGGAACAAAATAACTGAAGAAAACAAAATGAATTATTAACAATCTTAACTACAGAAACATATCTATATATACATGTATGTATTGTGAAAATATAAGTAGAACAAGTCATCACATAAAAGTTGTAATATTTCCATTAAAATATTTGTCACTAAAATATCAATATCAAGAGGTTTAGTTCTATGGGGTAGTCATCCATAAAAATGCATCATATTAGATGATTTATTAAAGTAAGAGTAACTAGAACTGTCATTAAAACCAATCATACTACCAAATTCTAAAACCAAAAATGTTTAATTATTCATTAGTTACAAAATTCAGCAGTATGAGTGTGTGCAGATTGAATTACTGGTATTTATTGTACATGACACTCTTATTTTATATAGCTTTAATAAACTTCAGAACTTTAATAAACAAAATTTTAAAAAATATTATTATTCTTGTAAAAATATACATTATAAGATGATTGAATACCCTGGAGGGAATAATTTCATTGCTGAAAGTGAAATATGTACTTCAAGTTTTGTAACAACATAATGGAATAAATATATGAAGGTAGTACAATAAATAGTGTCTGCATCATATATAGTTTTCTTCATGTTATAAATACTTTCTGTTCACTCTTTAATCTAAGTCAAAATTAATATATACAGAAGGAATTTATAAGTGATACTCTTGTTAGAAAAAGTGGTTCTACACACTAAGTTTGATGCAGCATCCATAATATTTTGTTTTAGTTAAGATTTGGAAAAAACTCAATTTCGACAATGGTTGTATATCAGAATAAGTTACAACCCTAAATAAGCTTAAACTTATACTGAGCATGATTAAAAGAAAAGATTATGCAAAGTCAGTACATTTTAGATTTAAATAACATACATTGTCAGTTCTTTAATCAAACATAAGGGAAAAGTTATGGTGCAAAATATTAAATTTTCTATGTAAGTTTGTTTTATCTTTACCTTGATTTTTAAGAAATGATTGTCATGTAGAAGAGTTAAAATCAGACACGTCACTAGGCACTGGCACATGGAGCCTATTTGACAGTGCCCTAAATCCCAGTTGGTGTCTTGAAGAATCAGAACAGAAAACCATGATCAATAACATACTGAAATGCCAAAAATTCCTGTGCCTATGGGCCTGAGCCCTGAATCTTTTAAGTACCTAGTGATGCCTCTGGTTGAAATGAGTGATATTTTGTCAATTTTCTACTGATGACTCCTAGACTAAACAAATTATCCAGTTGATTAAATAACTCTATCTGTAATTATTTTAAAACTTTTATGTTTTAAATAAAAACATTTCATCTGATACTGATACTAGATATTAAGGATTTAATGAATTATTAGTCATTCTGGATATGCATGTTATTTTTAATGTTACAGAAAAGAGCATACTGCTTAACTAAAATCCAAGCCACTTGTAATTTCCAAAACTATAAGATAAAATGCATGTTTTTCAAATGTACATTTCAAACTTCTATTTCATCTTTAAAAAACAATTGGGTAATCTATCAATATCAAGTTTGAATGACTGTGTATAATGGCAATAGACCACTTAATATTCTCTGCATACACATATGGGTCTCTATTAGTTCTGTTAATTTTCATAAAGAGACCATGCTATAAGCAACTAAAAAATTTGGTAGCTAAAACATATCATAGATTTAATGCAACAAATAATATCAATACTTCAAAGCTTCCTGTTTGAATAAAATAATGCCTCTGACTCAGTGAAGACATCAATGATGTAAAATTGGATTGTTTCATATGTGTCTAACATTAGACTGATTGGCCTATACCAGACGTTAATGCAAAAGAAGTTGTGTGGCACTCTGAGTCTGTACCAAAGATCACAATTGTTTCACAATATTGCAAATTTTAAGCAAGCTCAAAATATTCAATGTATACTTTAGACTGATGAAAGAAAAATGCATAAATCATATTTCATTTAGATCTATACATATATATATATATATGTTTTGAACTACACTTCTGTCTAAAACCATGTAAAACTATTAAACAAATTATTATGTATATCAACCCCATGCCAAACTGGTCAACCTTTGTACCACTGTAAGGATCAGGTATTCTTTACTTTAATGCTTTTCTTATAAACTACAAAAACCCACAATATAATATTGTATAATATTATATTTAATATGTTAAATATTTAAAAACAATACAATAAATACAGACCAATAAAAATTATTATTTGTTACAAAGAGAAAATTGAAGTACTGAGCAAGATAATACACACCTCTGGGTGTTAAGCTTCTTTCAGTAAGCATGTAGTTTCAGTTATCCACCAACAATTAGAAGTACTAGTACATACTTACCAATCCCATCTCGATGAGATGTTGCTTAATTGCATGATTGGAGAAATAATGACTCAAATGTTCATCTGTCAAGCTGTTATAAGAACTAAGGGGTCTATATGGATAACAAAAAATAAATAAAAAGAGTGCTCTACATTCACAAACCTCATAAAGATTATCAAAAACTTTCAACATAATAAAATCATATTTGTTCTCCTAACAGTTGTTTCAAAGTTTAAAAAACTGTTTATTTTTGTTCTTTCAGACTAGCTTAAAATTTTTTTATCTAAGTGTATTTGTCATTTCAAGAGACATTTATTAAACTCATCAACAAGTACAACCATTGTAAAGGATACACTTCAATTTAAAGATTACTATGTTGATGTAACAAAAAGTTTCAACTACAGAGTACACTCCAGTTTTTTCATTTCTCATTTTCTCAGACTTACATGTTACGTAACATTTCACATATAGGTGTTGGATTAGTTTTATTTCTACTTATTTTATGCTTTGTTTTTAAGAGGTCTATTCACAGCTTAAACTCCAGACTCAACCTTGTACTAAGAACATCTATTTATTTAATTCCCAAAATAAGTATCAGTGTTTTCTATTGGTGGTCTAGTGAACAAGTACTCTTTAAAAATAATTATTTAAAATTATAAAATCAGGATTATGAAAATCTTTGAATTTTAACATTAATATATTTAATCAAGACACTATTTTTTCATTCTTATAAATATCTTCCAATGAACTGAAGAATCCTCACTTTTCCAGTATTCTTCATAATTGTTTAATCAAGGATAGTGATCTGAAAGTGAGCTTGTCATCTCATATAGGAGTAATCATGTTGCAAAAAGGAACTCTTAGGAAATGTACTTGAATTATTTACTTTCAAACACACTTATATTCAACTACAAGAATCTTTTATGCATAAACATAATTAAAACTTTGGATTTATTCGAAAAAAGAATTTTAGTCTCCACAAACATACAATAGCATTTTAAATTCTTCCTACAAGATAAATTACCAACACTATGATGGTTATTATTTGCTAAGCTATTTTCTACATTGTTTATATAAAAACCTTATTCATATTAAGACTACCATGAAAAATGTTTTTTATTTCATTGTTATAATTTAACTTTTAGCTTTATGTACAACCAAATTAGAATGAATGTTGTTATAATTTCCTATTGTTTAAATGAAAAAATATACTAGGACAACAAGAAATTTGGTTGTTCTAATTTGCTTCAATACACTATACTCACCCATCCAACTTTTTGTTTGCTGCTGCCACTGTCCACATCTTCACTTCAGTTACTGATAAGTAGTTGCTTATTAACTTGTGTAACTATTCTTCAGTTACTTATACCTATACAAGTTTGTCAAGTAATTGCTTTCTTCTGAATTTCTATGATTACATTAGCTGATAATTTTCAAGAATTTTCAGTTCATATACTTCCTTTATTCTTCACAAACTGTTCTTCAACTGTTAATATCCACATATTGTTTAAATTATTTTGTTATTATGAAAGACTGTCGCTACTCTTCAACTTATCTAAATGTTCAATTAAAATGCTTGATTTGTTCAGTGGTTTATGGGAGTTGTTAAGTGGTGAGGAAGTTAAGTCTCCTTTGTCAGTTTCCTGGAAAAGTTTTACATAAAACATTTACTGAATTTGATTTCTGTAACATTATTGCTATATTTTAATCTAGCTTCTCTTCATTATTTTTTTAACTTGTATGTCTTTTTATCTAAATTCTTCTTCAAGTTTAATTTAAATTACGATTTTACATTTTGAGACTTCATTAGCTTAGCTTCACTTGTTAAGTTGTTATATACATCATATATTTTATTCTCATTACAATAAATAAATCTTTCTTTCGATTACAGTATTCACCTATTGTTTCAGCTGTATTTAAAATTTTAAACCAAACACTTACCTATAACTAATATACGTATAATTAAAATTAAAAACCTTCTGGTACGAAACGGTAGGCTTAAGAAAACCTAAGTCTCAAACTAAAGATATTAACGTAAACATTGAGAACTTTGTTGCTAAGTTACAGTCATATGCACCATCGCCTGGTGGTGTATACAAACAAACAAATAACACCCTCTTTCTTTAACAATGTAAACTATTGGGCTCATTTCGTTGATTTCAATTGATGGGACATACAACAAAATATGTTTTCACAAATGTCGTGAAAATAAAAATATATAACACGAGTGGAAAAAGAAAAAAATGTTCAGTGTTTATTTCAAATTGCACGTGAACTTTTTAAAAATTAATAGAAGTATGTATATTATTTATTGTTGTTCATAAATAAACAACAAAAAATTCATTCGCGTTTTTATGGTTCTTTTAGTTGAAAAACAATAGAATTTGATGTGTGAATGCCACGCTGTTCTTGAATTTCGTGAACT